CAAGGATGTAAAACAATTTTCCAAGAAGTGTTATGTTTCTAAACTTCAAGATTTTTAATTTTCAAGAAATGAATCAATTTAAAGCTAAAAAATACAATCTTTATGATACTTCAACATTCTCCAAGAGAAAACTTTGAATCCATTTTACATTTAGCAACTTAATATTAAACTATGTGATAAATCAAAAGTTTTAAATTAGTAAAATATGTTTTAAATGTTATAAACCACGTCAAAGGTATAATATATGAACTAACAAATTAAAATACTACAATTGATTAAGCTACAAGGTTCTTGTGGTTAAACAAGTTATTACAAAGAGTATTATTATTATTTTTGTTTTGAGACAGGGTCTCACTCTGTCGCCCAGGCTGGAGTGCAGTGGCATGATCTTGGCTTACTACAACCTCCACCTCTTGGGTACAAGCAATTCTCCACCACAGCCTCCGGGGTAGCTGGGACTAGAGGCATGTGCCACCACACCCAGCTAATTTTTCTATTTTTTGGTAGAGACACAGTTTCACCATGTTGGCCAGGCTAGTCTCGAACTCCTGACCTCAAGTGATTCACCAACCTCGGGCTCCCAAAGTACTGGGATTACAGGGATGAGCCACTGTGCCCGGCCATGAAGAGTATTATTTAAAAAGGTGTATGTTATGCCAAGCAATAACAAGATATTTGTAGATGTGATCACAAGTTAGTTATAGTAAAACAAAAAGAAAAAATATACTTAAGCACTCTTTTGTGTCATGATTTACCATAATTCAGTAAAGTGTTTATGGTTGTTATTAAAGTTAGCCTGAAGGGGAGAAATAAAGCACCCTGTAATTTGAATGAAAACTACAAAGTGTGAGATCTTGAGGGGCAAAAAAGAAATGAAAAAAGAAAACAGAAAAGAAAAAAAGTATGTAAGTTATCGTACAGTATTTATGTTTCCTAGGATGTTATATGCTACTAAAAACTAACTCTCAAAATCTTTAAATACTCTGAAAAATAAGTACACTATATAGATTACACTTTTGGAAAATTTCATAACATCATTAATAATTTAGTAAAGGGTTCTTTTTCATCATAACGCTCATTCAACTATCTGGTCTAACAGTCTTTTTTGGCCAGCCAGTACATCTGGCTAATTTCTGTATTTGTAGTAGGGACTGGGTTTTACCATGTTGGTCAGGCCAGGCTAGTCTCAAGAGATCTGCCCGCCTTGGCCTCCCAAAGTACTGGGATTACGGGCGTGAGTCACCGCACCTGGCCACACTTGTTAGTCTTCTACGTAGTCTTTAAGAAAAGGAATATAGATGGAAATGTTCCAAAGTGTCAATCATCTTAAATCAAATGGACACAAAGAGATTAAATCACATCAGAATTTTTTAAAAAATAGAGGCATGGTCTTACTCTGTCACCCAGGCTAGAGTAAACTGGTGCAATCACAGCTCGCTGCAGCTTTGACCTCCCTGGCTCAAGTGATCCTCCCACCTCAGCCTCCCAAGAAGCTAACTACAGGTGCACACCACCACGCCCAGCTAACTTTATTTTTTGTAGAGACAGGGTCTTGCTATGTCGTCCAGGCTGATCTCAAACAATCCATCTGCCTCAGCCTCCCAAAACGTTGGGAGAGGAGTGAGCCACTGTGCCTGGCCTAGAAACATTTTACTTGCAAAGATTCTAAAATGGCTAATCAAAGATAATAGCATACTTAAATTAGTCCAAAAGATGAAAGCCCATTTTTTAACTCAATGTTTTGATGTAAGTAAGCATCACCAACAAAAACAAAGAAAAAATACAGATTATGAAGCTCACGTATCTTTTTCTTCACCTGTTCTTGTTAGATCAGCCACTAGAAGCTAAAAAGTTGTCATTCTGCAAATTTTATGACAGCCAAAACAAACTACAAAAATTAAATATTTCCCAAAACTATTTTACCATCAATGTTTAAGTATAGGATAGTGAAATGTCAGTACTCTTAACCATCAATTCTCCCAATATAATATATAAGATACATTTTACAATAAAACTTCAAAGCTGCTCATATAAATAGCAGTATTCCATTTCATTCCAATTCTGAAATTAGTTCAGTAAGGGAAAAACAAAAAGAATCAGGTACAATGTGAAGAATAACTGAAAATCCAGGAATATCATACTCCCAAAAATTATCTTACCATTAATCATGATTTCACATTTTATGCTATTACTTGAATAAATTTTGCTATTATAATTTTGGATTAAAAAACTTTTGTTATTCTGATGCCATTGGTTATTTGTTTGCTGACTAATTTTTATTAAAATCAGTGAATTGTGAAAGGCATATTTCACAGAAAATATAAAATACTACATGCTGCATTTTTTAAAAGTGAGAGTTAGAATTATACTACTTAACTACTTTCTATGCTAAGTAATGTCACAAAATACTTTAAAATAGTTACACACAAAAATATTCATGAAACATAGCCTTTTTTTCTTTTTTTTTTGAGACAGTCTTACTCTGTCACCCAGGCTAGACTGCAGTGGCACGATCTCGGCTCACTGCAACCTCCACCTCATGAGTTCAAGTGATTCTCCTGCCTCAGCCTCCTGAGTAGATAGGATTACAAGCATGCGCCACTACACCCGGCTAAGTTTTGTATTTTCAGTAGAGATGGGGTTTTACCATGTTGGCCAGGCTGGTCACGAACTCCAGACCTCAAGTGATCCACCCGCCTCAGCCTCCCAAAGTGCTGGGATTACAGGCGTGAGCCACCGCACCTGGCCTATATAGCCTCTTTTTAATAAATCACCACAATCACTAAGTGATACTGTGGCCAATTCTACTATTCCAAGACTGCCAAGACATAATCAGCATCGTATTTTAATTCAAAAGATTCCATAAAAAAATGTTTGTTATAGCAAAGATAACTTTCAACAAGAGCCACTTTTTCTGACCTTGTCAACCTGTGAATCAGCTGTTCTTAGAAGCACAGTTACTTGGACACTACACCATTCCTTCAGATGATGTAATCTTAAGGAATTTAGTAATTAGGTGAATTACTAACATAAAACAGTATTTACTGACATGACTAAACTGAAAGGCCTTTCACCTATTCCTAGAGTCTTCACAGAAATCAGACACCCAGTGTAAGAAAACAGTGTTGAAAGCTCTGCTGGTCACATCAAAGAGAATAATCATTTCAACAAATCCAGAGGATATCTTAAAGTATGAAATCTTAAAGCATGAAAGCTCAAATAAAACTACTACTGCGTACTAATACACAGCAACAAAAAGAACCACTGCAGAAACTGTTATAAGACTTTATGAGAGCAAAAACAAATGAAGAGGCGAAAACACAACAACCATTAAGAAAAAAAAAAAAAAAAAGACAAAGAAGGCATTGAGAGAAGCAGCACAAAATAAAGATTATCCCTGAAAGAAAATCTGTTGACTAAAATATTCTGTTCTAAATACTTAATTTTAAAATTTCGATTAGAACAACACACTGTCCATTTGGCAGACCTACAAAAACATTTCCTTAAAAAATTACCATTACTTCAGCTATATTTTTAAAAGTCCTGTTCACTTGGAAAAGACTATCATAATAATTAGAATAACTTGTCTCACTATTTACTTAGAAATGCTCTATTTAAAAGTAGGCCAACAATAGGAACTTTGCTATTGCACAACAGAGAAAGTAAATGAAATAACATCTATTAACATTCAGTGTCCATAGCATGTTTCTCCATCTCCTAGAACATACTGTGACTTACACTGTCTACCCTGAACAATTTACCACTTCTTCATCCATGCAGTAGCTCAAATAAAGACAGTTCCTGTGTTAATCCCACAATAAGCCTCAGTAATTCTCACATCACCGTCGTTGTAAACGTTTGTTAACAGAAAAAGAATGTTTTTCCTAAAATAGCTACATAACACTAAGACTACTCAAATTCCTAAATAATCCTTTTACAACATGCCTGCCAACTTTATTTTGATACATTAAACATGTGGAGCCTATTTTAAAAGCTCTTTGTGATTTTATCAAAACAGCTTCCTAGTTATTAATGTCTCTTTTTAAAAGAAGTTTTTAGAAGAAATTGAATATTGATGAATTTGGGCTGCTATCAAATGCCTAGGAAGCACTTTTTTTGCCAGATAAGATGGGCAAACGTCCTAGATCTGCTAAATTTGACATGAGAGGTCATGCAATTTTTAAAAAATGAAGAAATAACTATTTCCAACACTCACTGAGTCCTTCATTTAAAAAATCATTTTAGGTGTTATTTTCACACTTTACGTTTAATAATACAATTTTTTTTAAGGCTGTTAGGCTTAAACTATAAAAAAACTGATCTATGGCTTGTCAGTCTATACTCTTAATGGGGCTCCGGTAGATTTGGGGTACTGAAAATAAGTGGCAGTTTCAATTAATAACTTCGCTGTTAGTAATGACATCTGAAAAGGATGGTGCTAGGGAAGGCAGACAAGAGATGCCGGGGGTACGATGAGAAGAGAAACACAATTTAAAGCCACTAAGGAGGGAAGGCGAGGGTAGAACGCACAGACAGCAGAGAAAGACGATTTAACAAGGAAGTGAAGTGGAGCGCAGAGTAGGGCAGAAGCTGATGAGGAAATGAAAGGGAAAAGATAGTGTTTTCAAAGAGGGCATGCACCAGGAAGAGCCAAGGCTTGGGGTAGCCCCAGCGCTTTCGTGTGAAAGAGATGCTTGAAGACTGAAGCGGAGGGAAGAGGCAATCAGTTGGCGTCCAGGCGTTCGAGCAAACTCCCATTCTCTCCCCGCGCCTCTCCCAGTCCTCAGCTGAGCGGAGGCGGCGGCCGGGGAAGGGGCCTACCCGAGAGCCAGGCACGGCGTGCCCCCGCCTAGGCTCCGCGGGGAAAGCAGCGAGGATTCGGAAGGACAGAGGCCCCGGCCGCGGCTCGGCGGCACCGGGAAAACCTGCCCAGGGCTCGGGGCCTCGGCGGCCCGGCCAGTCAGCCGCTTCCCCTCCGGCGGGGCGCCGGGCGGCCTTACCTGAGGCAAGGGAGGGAGAAGATGTCTAGGGCGCCTCGCTCGCGCCCGCCGCGGTACTCAACCCAAGTTTCCAACGGAGGCGCGACCCTGACTCAGCCGCCGCTTCCCCCTCGGGGTCTCGACCACCGACCGCCTCCGCCGCCTCCGGGGCTGTTTACACCGCCCGGCCCCTCACGCCGCCGCCGCCGCCGCTGCTGCCTTCTCTCCACCCCAGCGCCGTTGCCGACTCGGCCGCCGCCACCTCCTCCGCCGCAGCCTCGTCTCTCTGGAGCATCTTCCAACCACCTAACCCTGAGAATCAGAGACTCCAGCCGCGCCGGCAGGAAACTCCCCCGCAACTGCTAGGGGAACGAGGCAGTCAGAGCACTGGCGGCTTTTCCGCCATTGAGCAGAAGCCGCTCGGCTCCTTCTGCAACCCCCTCCCCGCACCCTAGTCCTTCCCCGCCCCTCAGGGAGCCCCGCCTCCAGCTCCCACCCACTGGGATGCCGCGCGCCCTGTCGCGGCCTCTGGTTTGCTGGGAGTCTTGTCAATTACCGCTCCCCCTCCCAGTGCTGCTCCCTCGACACCTCCGTACTTAGTTTACCCCGCCCACCCGGCCCCGCCTCTGAGTTTCTAATTTCCCATTGGACATCAGTGGCTACTTTCAATTGGCAAGGTCAGCTGTCCATCAAACACCGCCCACTAAGTGAGACCCAACCCTTTATTACCATTTACTTTATTCGGCCCCGCCTCCGCTAGGTCCTACCTCCCAAACGTCAGGGACCAGCCCCCGATACCAGCCATAAGTAGAGCCCGCCGTCAATCAAATAACGCCCACCTGCGCTCCTCCTAGCAAAGCCCCGGCCCCAGCGATTGCCTTCTCTTATTGGTCCAAATCGTGGTCCGAACCCCCAGTCACTGGCTTTCTTTGCGGGTCAGTCACTGAGCCAATTTCCAAGTCCGTCACACCGGCTTTTTTTCAAATGAACCCGGAAAAGGCGGGGAGGTATCTGAAAAGCGATTGGTTCGTCTTAGAAAACGGTCAAACCCAGAGAGTCTGTACGGATCCTTTCCGTTCTGTGAGGACCGTGCCCCCTTGTATTTGACCTCTAAGCCTTGCGTAAATCAAGCGCCATAAGGGACCAACGAGCAGTCCAGCTATAGGTGTGGACGCCTGGTCCCACCCGGAATTGCAAGGGCTTGGCTACTGATTGGCTAAGAAAGTCCTCCTAGGCCCCTATTGGAGGAAATAAACGCCTCTCTTCGGCGTAGACGGGAAGGGATGGCTCAGACGAGGACAAGAAGTGGGCAGGGGAGAGGCAGTTGTTTTGCTTCAGCCGCGGGTGGGGCGCACGCGGGAGTGGGAAACTGGGAAGGCCGGGCTCTGGGGAGGTATTGCGGGGAGGGGAAAGGCCCGGATGTTCCCTAACAATGAAATCATCGCCGACCTATCAGAGCCGCCGAGCTGGGATACCTGCCTGACCTGTCCCCCGGAGGGAGAAGAGTGGGCGGGAAATTGGGGTGTCGGAAGAGCCTGGAAAGCAACGTGAGAAAGTGGGACAGGTGTTCCCTTTAGGAGGATTGTGCTATTAGAGATTATTTTTACACTAGCCCTTGACATTTCCGTATTTTGTTTCACAGTCAACATTGGTTTTTAAAACTCCCGGCCTAGTCTCTTCACATGGACTCGTTCATTTCGCAGTTATTGAGCACCTGCTGTTTGCCAGGTACTGTATGTAGAGCTGGAGATGCAAAAATAAATTAGGCAATCACAGTACAAGATGATAGGTACTATAATTGAAACATGCACAAGGGCTGGTGATGACATAAAGGGTCTTCCTTGTGGATAGGTTTACCAAGAAAGGCTTCACAAAGTCACAGGATGAGTCAAGAATGAATGATACGGGTTTGACAGGCTAATGGGGAAAGTGGACATGACTCCTCCAGGTATCAAATTAGACGATGCTGCCACGTTAATTCTCCAAACGAGAAACAGAAGTGTAATAGAGGTATTGTAATACCTTAGGATATATAATCTGAATGTCCTAAAAGAGAACTTAAACCTAATTCCTACTTCGGTGTAAATTGGTTTGGGCAGACAACTTAAGCTTAGACCCAACAGAGTGCTATTCAGGTTAGGGGCTGTCAATGTTTTACGGAAAAGGGCAAATTTAGTAATAGGACAATTGTCCAGGTCGTCGTAAGGACGGCAGAAACAAAGACTTAATTGCAATTCGGGTTTTTTTGTTTTGTTTTTTTGAGCAAGCACATTTTACTTTTTAATGAGACAAATCTGAAAAGCAAACGCGTTCCAAAAAGCTTGTAATTCGGTAAGAAAGATTTTAAAAAACCAAAAAAAGTATCTTCTTTTCACCCCAGATCTTATTAACTGTGTTTTCCTCTTCGAGAACATGCATCGTCAATAACGTCATCGTGAAGCAGTGTGGATCATTTCTGCAATTAAGGCTATGGCCCGCTGGCTGGCTTGCACAGGTCAAATTAACAGAAAGCAATGCTTTTTAAGAGACGCCGCCTAGAACCTTCTCAGCAATCTGCTTGTAAAAACGACATCGGATCGGGAGTTGTTATGATGAATATTACATGCTCGGGCTATTAGCACCCCAATAACTGGTCTAAAGGCTTTTCCTTTTCCATCAGAGTAGTACTCGACATTTCCTTAAGTTCTGTTGTTGATATGAGCAGTTCCTTTCTAATGTCCTCATACAGACCTTTCAAGTCTCTCCAACCGAGTTTGAAAGGATCGGTGATCTGTATATTTCTCACCACTGTGTGTTTTACTGTCCAGGGTTGTGTGATAACACCGTGATATACTATATACATTTGGACAGGCAGATGTTAAATGCCTCACAAGACTGAAATAGGGTATCTGAGACAAAACAAATTCCTACCGCCTGTGAGCCGGCTCGCGGCCCCGGAGGCCCTGCAAGGCTCAAGGAACCAGGCTCGCATCGCCGGCCTCCAGGAGCAGCCGCTCGTCCACTGCCACCGGCGCTAGGCCATGGTCGGAGTCTGAAAGTCGCGGCAGGGCGGCGGCTCTGCCTCTGCAAGTCAGGTTTTTAAAACCTACTCATCAAGTTGGTGTTTCTTACAGCATAGTGACACATACTACACGACACATACTATGTTGTAGCCCACTTTCACTATGTCCCGTCAATAGGAGCTGTATTCGCCATCATGGGGGGTTTTATTCATTGATTCCCCTTATTTTCAGGCTATACTCTAGACCAAAGCTCACTTTGCCATTATATTTGTAGGTGTAAATTTAACTTTCTTCCCACAACACTTTCTTGGCCTATCCAGAATACCCCGACGCTATTCTGATTATCCTGATGCCTATACTACATGAAATCTTCTATCATCTATAGGCTCCTTCATCTCCCTAGTAGTGGTAATATTAAAATCTATATAACCTGAGAAGCCTTTGCCTCAAAATGTAAAGTCTTATTAATTGAGCAGCCTTCTACTAACCTGGAGTGACTGCATGGTTGCCCTCTGCCCTACCACACATTTGAAGAACCAACCTATATTAAACTAGACGAAAAAGGAAGGAATCGAACCTCCTAAAACTGGTTTCAAGCCAACGCTATAACCTGTATAACTTTTTCAATGAGATATTAGAAAAATTATTTCATAGCTTTGTCAAAGCTAAGTCATAGGTTAAACCCTATATATCTTATATGGCTCACCCAGTTCAACTAGGTCTACAAGATGCCACATCCCCTATTATAGAGGAATTAATCGCTTTTCATGATCACACTTTTATAATTGTATCCTTAATCAGCTTTCTAGTCTTATATGTCCTATCCTCAACCCTCACAACAAAACTAACCAACACCAGTATTACAGACGCTCAAGAAATAGAAACCATTTGAACTGGTCTTGCTCGCGATCATTTTAGTCTTAATTGCTCTCCTATCCCTGCGCATCCTATATCTAACGGACGAGATCAACAACCCTTCTTTTACTATAAAATCAATTGGACACAAATGATACTGAACCTACAAATCATCTGGGATTCTGGGATGGAGATTCCCAGATCCACTCATGCCTACAAATCAGAGACTCTGGGGACAAGGGTCAGAAAGGTGAATTTTAAAATAGCTCCCTAGATGATTTTTTTTTTTTTTTTTTTTTTTTTGAGACAGAGTCTCACTCTGATGTCCAGGGTGGAGTGCAGTGGTGCAATCTCGGTTCACTGCAACCTCCGCCTTCCAGTTTCAAGCGATTCTCCTGCCTCAGCCTCCCGAGTAGATGGGATTACAGGCGCCAACCACCACGCCTGGCTAATTTTTGTATTTTTAGTAGAGACAGGGTTTCACCATGTTGGCCAGGCTGGTCACGAACTCCTGACTTCAAGTGATCCGCCCGCCTCAGCCTTTCAAAGTGCTGGGATTACAGGCGTGAGCCACCGCGCCCAGCCTGCAGATGATTTTTATGTGAATCAGTGTTTGAGACCCTCTGGCACAGGATAATGGAGGCAGATGTAAAGTAAATTCATTTCCTCACTTTTGCATGTTGGGAGAACATATATATGTCTCACTTTTCCACTGTCCCCTTTATTATCAGCGTGAGATTATACAGTCAGCAGGAAGTATTACTGAAGTGACTTATAAAAAATGTTTTCTCCGGCTGGATGCGGTGGCTGAAGCCTGTAATCCCAGCACTTTGGGAGGCCGAGAAGGGCGGATCACGAGGTCAGGAGATCGAGACCATCCTGGCTAACACGGTGAAACCCCGTCTCTACTAAAAAATACAAAAAACTAGCCAGGCGAGGTGGCGGGCACCTGTAGTCTCAGCTACTTGGGAGGCTGAGGCAGGAGAATGGCGTGCACCCGGGAGGCGGAGCTTGCAGTGAGCTGAGATCCAGCCACTGCACTCCAGCCTGGGGGACAGAGCAAGACCCCGTCTCAAAAAAAAAAAAAAAAATTTTTTTGGCCGGGCGCGGTGGCTCAAGCCTGTAATCCCAGCACTTTGGGAGGCCGAGACGGGCGGATCACAAGGTCAGGAGATCGAGACCATCCTGGCTAACACGGCGAAACCCCGTCTCTACTAAAAACACAAAAAATTAGCCGGGCGAGGTGGTGGCGCCTGTGGTCCCAGCTGCTCGGGAGGCTGAGGCAGGAGAATGGCGGGAACCCGGGAGGCGGAGCTTGCAGTGAGCTGAGATCTGGCCACTGCACTCCAGCCTGGGCGACAGAGCGAGACTCCATCTCAAAAAAAAAAAAAAAAAAATTTTTTCTTAAATCACACTTCATTGCCTGACACCCCTTATGCAAGCAGAAGGGAGTCTGAGACCTCAGCTTCTAAAATGGGAACCATGCTAAGGATAAAAAAGTGAAGACACTTAGGGACCCTTGTCCTGTGAATACAAGCAACCACAGAAAGGCATGAGAACAGTTTCTTGGCTTGCTTGACTTCCTTCTCACTTTCCCTTGGTTGACCCAAAAACAAATACAAAGCTCAGCCATTTAGGTGGGCTGATAATTCCGTATCATTCACACTTTCAATCACTAAGATAAAAAAAAAAAAAAAAAGTATGGAGACACCCCAAAACAGATACGAAAGTTAACTTTGTTGTATGCTTTATTTGCTTAAAACACCAAACCAGGCCAGGCGCGGTGGCTCAAGCCTGTAATCCCAGCACTTTGGGAGGCCGAGAAGGGTGGATCACGAGGTCAGGAGATAGAGACCATCCTGGCTGACACGGTGAAACCCCGTCTCTACTAAAAAATACAAAAAACTAGCCGGGCGAGGTGGCGGGCGCCTGTAGTCCCAGCTACTCAGGAGGCTGAGGCAGGAGAATGGCATGAACCCGGGAGGCAGAGCTTGCAGTGAGCCGAGATCTGGCCACTGCACTCCAGCCTGGGCGGCAGAGCGAGACTCCGTCTCAAAAAAAAACAACAAACAAACAAACAAAAAAACAAAAAAACACCAAACCATTAAAGAAAACCCAACAAGATTTACAACTTTGAAAACTGGTGTTGGCCGGGCGCCGTGGCTCACGCCTGTAATCCCAGCACTTTGAGAGGCCGAGGCGGGTGGATCACGAGGTCAAGACATCGAGACCATCCTGGCTAACACGGTGAAACTCCGTCTCTACTAAAAATACAAAAAATTAGCAGGGTGCGGTGGTGGGAGTCCTGTGGTCCCAGCTACTCGGGAGGCTGAGGCAGGAGAATGGCGTGAACCCAGGAGGTGGAGCTTGCAGTGAGCTGAGATGGCGCCACTGCACTCCAGCCTGGGTGACAGAGCAGGACTTCGTCTCAAAAAAAAAAAGAAAACTGGTGTTTACCATCATAAACATAATGTGTCATAAACCCTGAGTACCATCATAATGTGCTCTGCTACTAACTAGCTGTGTGACTTGAGCTAGTAATGAAGCTCTCTGAGCCTTGGTTTGTTCTGCAAAATGGGAATCATAACATCTTTCTCCAGAGCCACATGAAGAGCTTTAGAATCTCTTATTAATGCTAATCTCTCCCCAATATATAGCTTTAAATAAAAACAATATTAAATGTAATGTAGAAAAAGTTGGGTGAGGAAATCACATGATCACCTTTAGCTGCAAGGGAGGCCAAAAAATTAGGGAACTGCGAGGTCACAAGTTGCTTAGGGCAGAGATTCCCAGTCTTTACCAAGCATCACAGTCTCTCTTGATGTCATTTACACTCACCACTCTTTTGAAATTATTATAATTATTATACTTATCACTAGATCTTGTTATTTCATGCATTAATAAAGAAGCATAGGCTGGGCATGGTGGCTCACGCCTGTAATCCCAGTACTTTGGGAGGCTGAGGTGGGTATATCATGAGGTCAGGAGTTTGAGACAGCCTGGCCAACATAGTAAAACCCCATCTCTACTAAAAATACAAAAATTAGCCAGGTGTGGTGGCACGTGCCTCTAGTCCCAGCTGCTCAGGAGGCTGAGGCAGGAGAATCACCTAAACCTGGGAGGCGGAGGTTGCAGTGAGCCGAGACCATGCCATTGCACTCCAGCCTGGGTGACAGAGTGAGACTCCATCTCAAAAAAAAAAAAGCATATCACAAATGTACTTAATAGTTTGATAACTGTCTTTAATTATAATTGGTTTTCCTTTGTAATCTTAATGAGCTTTATGTGTTTTTAAATGTTATTCTGAGAAGAAATCTACAGGATTCACCAAAGGGACCCTTTGCTTAAAAAAAGGCATGGAGGAGGTAGTACCCCTGCTGTGGACCATAACCTCCAATTCAGCAAGGGCATCGTTTCTTTTGTTGTAAATCATACACAATAGATGCTTGATAAGTATTTCTTGAATTGCATTTGGAGGATCTCAAGTAGTTTGCTGGACATTTTTCCTTTTCTCAGTGCTAGGACCTCAAGCCTGAGCCTGTCCTCCAACCCTACTTCCTCCTTAGAGAGGAAGTTGATCAAGCTATCACCATCTTACATGCAATCCACACAGACTAGGAGGCCAAAACTGGCTTCCTCAGAACCAGAGCCTCCGTTGTGTTTTTTGTTTTTTGTTTTTTTGAGACGGAGTCCCGCTCTGTCGCCCAGGCTGGAGTACAGTGGCGCGATCTCGGCTCACTGCAAGCTCCGCCTCCCGGGTTTACGCCAT